CACACACACAGTCTTCAGCACACAGTCGCTCGCTCTCCCTTTCTGGATCTAAAATCCCCAGCTGTTCCATTGTTCCACGTCATTGCCTCTGCTTCCATCTCAGGCATCACTGCTTCTCTGGGTAGGGTCCCGCTCTCAGCTCTTCTCCGTTGATGGTCCTAGTGACCTCCGCTCCTTGACTGGAAAGTTATTCCCTCCCTTGCTATAAAACGTCTACCTTTACATTTCCAACCTTTACAATCAGTCCTGATAATTATTCACTATTGTATCACAAGAGACCCATCTGCATTTCATTTCATAAGCTCCACCTAGGGAGATTGGATACTACTCACTGGAGATTCTACATTCCTCCAAGCCCCCTGGCTCTAGGAAGGCAATAACTGTTTGCAAGTCTTATCTACATTACAATTAAAATTAAAGGGGGTGATCTCTTTTGGAGAAAAAAGACAGTATAGGGTCTGAGACATATCTGGGGTATGGAAGGCAGTAGACTATAATCATAGGGCAGAGAGACAGGAATAGAAGGCAAATTCTGTCATAAGTGAATCTCTGTGACCAGCATCTATTACTGTCTTTCGTTACTACTTTCACAATTACCTCGATAGGTGCAAGGAGAGAATTTCCTAGGGTTCCCAAGGAGTGACTGGTGGATTTGAACCACCTACCTTGCAGTCCAGTACTTATACTACAATGCCACACCAATGAACCTCTGTTTCCCAACTGGTTTATTTTTTCAAATGAAATCCAGGGGAAGGGAGAGGTTTCAGTAGTGCCCTTAGAGGAACTATTCACTTTGACATAAAGGAGACAAAAGTATCTGTGTTTGTGGTCATGGATCTGACAAGATTTGTTTTTTTACCAGGTTTTATGAAGGTGGTATGAAGTATACATATTTAGAAACTCAATAAGAATTAAAAGAGACTAAGAGAGAAAAGAAGTAAATCCACATTCAAGAACAATAGCACAGTCTTCCCAAATACCTGCAGTTTAAATCCTTTATTTAAAACATAGACACAATTTAAACAAGGAAAACCATGCAAACTCTGTCAAGAAGAGTGAAAGAGTCTTAATGATCCAGTACACTTTCAGTACACTGACTTGCCAGGGTGATTCCAATGCTTGCAGAAAGACAGAAAAAACTCCTTACATCATGTCTTGAATGTATCAAATCCAAACAGAAGAATGATTCCAAATTATATGTGAGTTCTCATTTTTCCAGCATATATTTCCAAATTTTTGAAACCTTCCTCCAATAGTTGACTTTTGTGGATGACAAAATGCAGTTACTTTTAAAACACTCTTTGTGGTGAAGTGGGAAAAGTCCTGAATGAGTAGCCAGCCAAACTCAACTTTTGTCTCAGTCTTTCCCCTAACTTGACAGTGTTCAGCAAATCACATAACTTCGAACTTTTAGATATAACAGCATTAGTAGCATCACAGAGATGCTGTGGTAGTAAAATGAGATAACTGAAATGCAAGCACTTTGAAATGTTTGAAATGCTATGTAAATACTTATAATGATGCTGTTACAGCATGCAAGCTGTGAGAAAGCTAAACTGGCCTGTATTATAATAGAAAGATTATTACAGAAAAGTCCAAGCTCATGATAGTTTTCTGTCTGCATTTCTTTTTTATGTAATGCATTTGAAAGAATGAGTTTTATAGAGAAAAAGAGTAAGAACTGATCAGAGAAGGCAGAGCCAGGACAGCTCACTAGTATTCAATGAGTAATTTGAAGGGCAAATGCTGTATCCTAATAAGTGCAGGGTGGCGTCTACTTATCAAAGTGCACAGGTAACCCCGAGTTATCATCACAGGCAATGACAACCCACCTAGTGCTGGTCCTGGCCCGATATCTGCAGTTAGGAGCCCTGGAACTTCCTGTCTGCCTGCAGTCTGTGGCCTTCACTACACCCCCATGGCAATTCATGCTGCCATTCTTGCACTGGATATTGGCGGTGTTGCAGATACTGTGGATGTTCCAGATGTTTTCATGGATGAAGGTGTTGACGGGCTTACAGTGATGTGTAGTCATCTTCCGTCTTTGCATCATCGTATTGCAGTAGATATCGTTGCCCCCTGTACTCGTAGGATCCACATGTTGTAGCAAAAACCGTTGATACATGACATTCTGGCCATAGGAGGGCTGCATCAGCCCCAGCCCCAGCAGGGTCAGCAGCAGGAACTGAAGCAATGAATGGGTCCTCTGTAGAGTCATCGCTATCTCAGAGGTTCCTGGAGAGTGACAAAGTTAAATTTTACTGGAGTCCTAAGGTCCTAGATGGAGTCCTGGTGGGAGTCCTGGTGTGGCACTGCAGGTTAATGCACGGGGCTGCAAGGTAGGTTTGAAATGCAGGTCAGCAGTTCAAGCTCACCAGCTGCTCCTTGGAAACCCTATACATGGTCACTGAGTTAGAACCTACTCGATGGCACTTAACAACAGCAACATGTGTCAGAATCAACTTGACAACACTTAACCTAGTTTGATTAAACAGATCATTAAGCCCACTGTTTGCAGTAAACCATTTGTTGGGTCAAACCAGTGAAGAGATTTCTTTGAACTATTGTTGATCTCTAGGACCTTGCTGTTAAGTATTGCCATGTAGGATCTGACTCATAGAGAACCTATATAGTTCCAAGGAGTGACTGGCGAGTTTGAAGGTTCAAACTGACCTTTTAGTCTAATGCTTTATCCCACAGCACCACTCCAGGACAACTATAACCTGGGAACACCTAATCCTTATCTCTTTCTCTCTTGTCTTAGGCCGTTTAGGATCCCTGTGCCTTAGACATCAGGAAAGAAAACATTCCAAACAAAGTGTCCTTAGTTGCAAAGTTAGTAAATCATTCATTCAATCTACTGATCAACCACATTAACTTTTTTTTTTTTTTTAACTCATAGCTCTTTATTCCAGATAAGTAAGTTGCTGGGCTCTACACACTGCCATGTTGAGGCATTTCTTCCCAGTTTATTCTTATTCTATTTCCCTCCCTCAAAATAATCTTTTAAAATAAAGTGGACCTTGCCTGCTTTAACATTATCTGGTGAAATTTTTTTCTTTGGCAAGAGCAAGAGAAAAACACCAAAAAGGAAATGTCTGTAGAATGTGAGCAAACGACCTAAAGACAGGAATAGAAGATAAAATTCCATCACGAGTATGTTGGTAGTTGTCTATCTTCTCTAGTTATTGGATCATAGTGCTGCCAAGTCTGTTGTTATTGTTCAGTGCCAATGAGTTGGTTCTGACTCATAGTGACCCTGTATAGAGTTTCTGAGGAGCAGCTGGCGAGTTTGAACTGACAACCTATGGTTAAGTCTAGTGCTTATCTTACAGTGCCACACCAGGACTCCAATGCTAACTCTATACAGTAAAAAATAAACAAATTTAACACAGTAAATTTTAAACAAAATTAACTATATTTCAGAGCAACAACAAAGATCGCATTGATATGTGCTTTCAGAACATTCTTTGCTTTTGTTGACTGATTGAAGTCATCCAGGCCAATCCTACTTCAAAGACTATGCTGTTTCCATACTGGTTTACTGCCTCTTTTGCCCCACTCCCCAAATATTCAGGATATTAGAGATATTTATGTTCCGAATTATGCTTTTGGCTGAAAGCAGAGACTACCAGAAAGATATTTATCTGTGATTATTGACTACGCAAAGACGTTCAAATGTGTGAATCATAACAGATTGTACTCAGACAGAACGTGTACATAGACCACGAGGCAGTTGTTTAAACAGAACAAGGGGATACTACATGGCTTAAAGTCAGGAAATGTTGCAACAGGTTGTATCCTTTCACCATAATTACTCAATCTGTATGCTGATGAATGCAGCATCAGAACTGGAGGAAAACTCACTAACAACTTGTAATATGTAGATGACACAACCTAGCTTGCTGAAAGCTAAGAAGACTTGAAGCATTTACTGATGAAATTCAAAGGCTACAGCCCTTCAGTATGGATTATACCTCAACATAAAACAAAAATCCTCACCACTGATCCAATTAGCAATATCATTACAACCACTGAAAAGACTAAAGCTGTCAAGGCTTTAATTTTACTTGAATTCACAATCAACAGAAACAGAAGTCAAGAAATCAAACAATGTATTGCACTGGGAAAATTTGTTGCAAAAGACCTTTTTAAAGTGTTCAAAAGCAGAGATGTCACTTTGAGGACTGAGGTGTGCCTGACTCATATGAATAAGGAAGACCAAAATAGAATTGCTATCTTTAATTATGGTGTTGGCAGAGAATATTGACTATATGATGGACTGCTAGAAAAAACAAAAAAAATCTATCTTGGATATTTGCAGCTCTTTCCTCTCATTTTGAGTTGTGCCACATCAGCAAATATCCATTAATAATCAGAACATGTAATGTACAAAGTATGAATTGGAACATTAAGGATCAATATCTTAGTTATTAGTGAGCTGAAAGGGATTGGTACTGGCCATTTTGAATCAGACAATAATATAATCTACTATGACAGAAATGACAAACTGAAGAGGAATGGCATTATATTTATTATCAAAAAGAACATTTCACAATAATTGAAATACAATGCTGCCAATGATAGATTAATGTCCATACACCTATAAGGAAAAATAATTAATATGACCTTTATTCAAATTGATGTAGCACCCACTAATGCTAAAGATGCAGAAATTGAAATAATTTTTCCAATTTCTGCAGTCTTAAATTAATTGAACACACAATCAAGATGCACTGATAGTTGCTGGTGATTGGAATGCAAAAGTTGGAAACAAAGAAGTATCAGTAGTTAGAAAATATAGGTCTTGATGATAGAAATGATCTCCAAGATCACATGATAGAATTTTACAAGACCAATGACTTATTTATTGGAAATATATTTTTCAAAAACATAAATGGTGACTATACACATGGAAAGATGTTTACCTGTGCTTTATTGACTATGCAAAGGCTTT